TGATTCCAGAGTGGGAAGCACAGTCTTGAATTTGCTATGGTAGAAGGGAGCTGAATCCAGTCCTTGCTCAAGGAGCTGCGCATTGTTATCCGTTTCTTTCAGCTAAACCATATGGTTTTGATTCTTTGTATGGCAAATGAATGGGAGGTTATTTGAGTATCCCTTGGATTATATGAGCTCAGATTGGCTTGGCAAAATCTGTGTGCAGAGGGAGAAATTGAGGGCGTACTAGAAAGTGAACTTTCAAAAGAAGCTTGAGGTTAAAACAATTTGTGTAATAATAATTTTTAAAAAATCTCTAACACATGCAGTGGACTTTATGGAGACCAGATGTTTAAACACAGTAGTTGCCAGCAGAGCTGGTGATCTGATGGAAGAAAGCTGGGGGGGGAGGGAGGAGAAGGGTTCTCAGGCACCATCCATCACAGTAGCCGTCTTTCCTTCATGCGTTATGTTTTCACATAGAGGGATTGTCTCTTTCCAAAGGTGTAGTTGAGCTGAAAGCTTTAATCCTCATCTTCACCAATCCAAAGATTTTGGAAAAGCTGAGCTTCCAAAAGGAGAGAGTAAATGTTATCTCTAGATTACAGGTAGTCCCCAGTTTAAGAACGAGTTCCATTCCCAAGGTCTCTCCTTAAGTCGAATTTGTATGTAAGCCAGAACAGTATTATTATATAATGCTGTATAAGTAGTATTGTGTAATGAACTCAAATCATTGTGTATTTAACTCAATTTTTGCTACAATAGGCTCCATTCTTAACTATGGGCTGTCTGTAAATTGGGAGTTCTTAACCCAAGGACCACCGGGAACTACTTGGTTTATTTTCTGACTGTGCAACCAATCCATCAATTTTCAAGGTGAACCCCCCACAAACAAGAGACCTTCAGCTACTTTGCGTGCACTGTAGCTCATACTGCTCAAGGACAACACTCTGTGTTTGGGACTTTTGTATCTGGGAAGAAAGTATTACAAGAGTAAGCATAACATTCCAAAACTCTGATCAGCCTGTGGTGTACAACAGAACCCTGAGACTATGAATGTATAAGATTCCCAGCTGAGGTTTCAGCACTTCCACCATAGGAAAGACCACAAAAAGGGCAACCTTCTTGATTCTCCTTGGATCTTTCAAATATTTTTAATCAAGAAATCTTTTGAAAAAGGAATCAGAAACACCGTTCTTATTTTTATCCTGCTCTTCCTCTAAAGAGCTCAGGGTAATTTATAGGATTCCTCAATTTGGTCTTCACAACAGTTTTATCCTCATAACAGTCTTGTGAAGTAAAGGATGATGAGTAGCCCAAAGGAATATAGCAAACACCCATTACTGGGTACAAACTTAAATCTGTATTTGCCCAGTTTTAGTATAACTTGTCCTCACTTCACTTCACTTCTCTACTATCCTGGGAAGTTCCTTGAAAGGAAGAGTAGAATAAATGTATTAAAGGACATATCTATTGTATCATCTACCCTTCAGTGCAAATAACATTATGATTTACTTGTGGATTTCTTCTAGTAAAAGTATGCATATCATAGATATATCCCAGTGACTCATAACATTAAATTCATCCTTATATGGAAAGAGTGGAAATAAATGTAGTTTATCAGGCACCCTGTGTCATATATTGGATAGAGTGTTGAATTTGGACTGGAGAAAGGCATATTCAGAATATGTTCGAGCATAAAGTTCAAGGGTAACCTATCTAAACTCACAGGGTTGTTTTAAGGGAAAATGAGATAATGTCATACATGCTGTACTTCTTTGAAGGCCATGGTATGCAGTATAATTATGATTGTTTTCAATCATTATTTTAATTATCAGTGGAAAATCTTTCTGGAATTGAGGGCCAGTGCAGATAGTTTCAGCCCAATACTTCTTCATGTGCAGAAGCTAATATCTATAGAAAGAAGGTTGTATTTCTAATGTCAGCTGAGCAGATCCTTCCATTGCATAACTTTCTAGAGATGCAATAAGTATTCTGTGATGAAGGAAAGCATCATGTGGTAATGTGCCCTGAAGAAGTTCAAGAAAAGTCCATTTTTTATTAATCACAAAATGGTAGATTCAGAAGAGACCAAAAGGCAATAAAATCTAATGAAATATTTTTCCATTACTTGTTCAAATGCATGACAGACAATCCACAACCTGTCACATGCGTAAGCTTATGTGTCACTAGTCCACTAGTTCGTCCTTCCAATTTAGTGTTGATGACTATGACTAACAGTGAATGTTCAAAATCTCAGAAAGTACCTTCTAGGTACTGCAGCTTCCAGAATTCCCAACAAATAGTCTTAACACACCTGGTAGATCCTGTCAGAAGATGCTGTAGTGGGTTGGAAGTGAGAGGACCAAGGAGAAGGAAGTGTAGCATTTAGGAATTTGTAGCTATTAGATGAAACAGGCTTGATAGTTTTGTGATAAGGGAAGGAAGACCTCAAAGATGCATTGTTGAAGGTGCCATTGGAAGTAAATACATTTGAAAGACTTCATTACATTATTTCAACAGTTATCAATCTGAAAATGCATTTATTATGGGGGTTAGGAGGCAAAGTACTATTAAAAAGACCATGGATGTTTAGAAATCAGAAAAGGGGGTGGAATTCATCAGAAGGGTCACACCTCAACTCCCTTCTGCTCTAAATACATATATCTACCATAGATCTGAAAACAGGTCCTAGAACAGTGTACTAAAGGAACAGTGTGTACATAGCAAGTGAGATATTCAACAGTGTGATTTTTAACAAGTTATATGATATCAAGTGTGCCTTTTTATATGATAACCACTGACTGGATGGATATTACAATGATGTAGTCAGGTTGGATAAGTTGGAAAGAACTAACTACAGGTGGTCCTCATTTAACAACCACTCATTCAGTGACCATTCAAACTTATGATGGTGCTGAATGAGTGGTTAGTTATAACTGCTCCTTGTACTTACAGCCAGTGCAGTGTCCCTATGATCACATGATCACAATTTGTGAACTTCCCTGCCAGCTTCCCACAAGCAAAGTCAATGGGGAAGCCAGCAGGAAATTGAAAGTTGCGGTCATGTGAGGGCCTCGCTTCATGATCTGCGTGATCCTCGCTTAACGATGACAACCGGGACTGCTGGGACTGCTGTCGCTAAGTGGTACGGTCAATGATTTTTCAACTGACGACCATGTCGCTCAACGATGGAGTTTCCAGTCCCAATTAGCATTGTTAAGCGAGGATTACCTGTAATAAAATTCCATGGTAGCTGATTTAAGGATTTTTTTTTTCTTTTTTCCATATTTCTGCAAATATCCATATGAATTTTCTAAAAGCAGATGCATACTGGTGAAATTTTTGAAATACAATGTGATCCAGCTTCAAGAAGGGCACAGACAGTTCATGGATATGGTTGCTTTTAGTGATGGGACTAAAGAATGATAAGTCACAGACATTGCAAAGGAAGAATAGAAGGTTAGGATGCTTCAAACAAATAACAAACAAACAAAGTTTGTGGAAGGTCAGACTTGCTTGGGACTAAATTTAACTCCCTGAAATTAAAATGACTGGGTAAATTGGCAGAGTTCAGATGTTCAGATGACATGGTAGCCATCTCATGACCCAATCTTGATGTGAATGTTTTGTCTTATAGGGCAAATACTGTAACTGTTGGTGAATGAATTTTGAACAGAAAAGTAGCTTTTCAAGGATTGAACTCCTGCCCCCAATACAGAGAGTCAAGGTTTAGTATTTAAAGTGCTGGATTAGAAAGTGGGAGTTCTACCCCAAGGCTGGCTGGGTGACTTTGGGCCAGTCATTCTCCCTCAGCCCAATCACAGGCTGGCTGTTGTGGGTAAGGTAGGAGGCAGGAGCATAAAATACAGTGCTTGAGTTGTACAAATGAAGGTGGGATATGAGGAGGAGGAGGAGGACGACGACATTCTGGTCCAGCCTCTCTATAAGATTCTATCTAAAAACAATAAAAAATAAATAAATTTGGCCATGGATGTCTCATTGCCTTTTCTGGCTGCAGAGTAATTATTAGATCTCTTGTTCATAAAATGTTGTCTTCCTTTTTCTGTGTAAATTGACAGTCTGCTTTGAAGTCCTGCTTTAAAGATACCTTTTATTGCTTTAATATGAAAAAGAAAGTAAACATACAAATGTACCTCGAGATTCATGGAGAAAATCCTCCAGCTTCATTTTTATAAAACCCTTCAACCCTGAGTGAGAATTTGGAAAAGACCCTGATCCTGGGAAAGATTGAAGGCAAAAGGAGAAGGGGACGGCAGAGGATGA